GAGTCCCCGAATAAACTTCTTTTTGTTACCGTTACCGAGTTTAGTGATTTCGCCTCCTAACCCATCCCGTCTCCGACTTAAAATAAAACGAGCTACCGGTCCCGACGGTTCCGGGACGCGCATCTTTTGTGATTCTCAGTTATTATCGCGTTTATCGAGGTGGTGCGGCCTTTCCGTACCTGGCGCCCAACTCTCGCGAAAATCTTTGTGGCGTGTCCGGGAGCCGACGGCAATTTGACGACGAGGCGAACAGGCGACTGTTTGCCGTCGCTCGCGAGAAGTTCCGCTCGCGAGTATCGTCGCAGGATAAAGAGGGATTGTCCACGTCTTCCTAATTCCCATCAATGTCGTCATCTCCCGGAACAGTTGGGACTCAAAATTCCTTTCCTGGTCCGTATGCAACTTCAAGGAAAACCCATGACGAGAAAACACCTGATCCACCAAGGCTCTCGCCACCGTACTCGCCCTTTTGTTTTTCAAAGGAATAGCCTCAGGCCATTTCGTGAAATAGTCCACGACTACCAAGAGATATCTGTTCCCTGATATGGAAATGGGCAAGGGCCTAGAATGTCCATCTGTATTCTCTCAAAGGGGGCGCCAACATTGTAAATCTGCAAAGGAGATTTTCCCTTTCCGGCGGGACCCTTTCTAGCAATGCAAATATTACACATAGCACACCACTTCTCGACGTTCTTTTTGCTAGTGGCCCAATAAAAATGCTTCCTTATTTTTTTGGAGAGTTGGGTTTTAGGTTTTGTTTACCACGAAATGTCCTCCAGCAGGCGTATCGTGAGCCTCCCTCAGAATTTCCTGTATTTTCTGTTGAGGAAATACGACCTGCAAAATGTTTTTGCATAAATTAGTTGAAACCCACTTCTTATAAAGGACACCATTGTCCAATGTCAACATCTCCCAATGAGTACAGTAAATCTTCAAAGTCTCTCCAGAAGCAATCTCCTGCCATTCTGGACGTCTCCCGGCCTCCTTGGCTTGAATTATCTGTGAAATAATCGTATCCTGAAGTTGTGCTGAACGCCACTCTTGAAGATTTTCTTTCACAAAGATAATCCGACCGAGGGCCTTTTCTCTGAAAGATTTTTCATTTTGCTCTACTTTCGCGCAATAGTGACAAAATTCTTGCAAACAGGGACGCCTAGATAACCCGCCTGCATTGCCGTGAGCTTTTCCGCTTCGATGATGAACATCGAAATCATATTGTTGCAGACGCTCCAACCACCTTGCCAATTGTCCCTCAAGATCTCGAAAGGACATCAACCAACGGAGAAAGACATGGTCCGTCTTCACGAAGAACTTTCGTCCATAGAGGTAATGATGGCAAAATTTTACAGAATCTACGACAGCCAGCAATTCTCGCCGAGTAACACAATAGTTCCGTTCGGTCTTGCTGAATACTCGACTGTAATAGACAATCACTTTCTCCTGTTTTCTCTGTTTCTGAGAAAGCACCGTCCCAATGCCATGATTCGAGGCATCGGTATCTAAAACAAACTGTCCCTGTCCCGAAGGAAAAGATAAAATTGGAGAATAGATAATAATACGCTTTAATCCTTCGAATGCCTCCTGGCAATCAGAAGACCAAACAAATTTACAATTCTCCTCCGTTAATTGATACAAAGGCTTAGCCAAATTGGAGAAACCCTTGATAAACCTCCTGTAATAAAAACAAAAACCAAGGAAACTCCGTACCTGTTTTCGTGTTCTTGGAAGCGGCCAATCATTAACGGAAGAAATGTTTTCAGGATACCTTGCTACTCCCTCTGCGGATACAACATGACCGAGGTATTTGACTTCTCTTTTCAAAAAAACACATTTACTAGGATTGACTTTTAAGTTCGCATCTTGTAAACGTTGAAAAACTTCGTTTAAATTAAGGCGATGCTGGTTACCGACATTAGGCCCGTTTTCTCATTTCTCTTTCCTTCTAATTGCATGCATAGAATTACAAATGCTTTTACAGCAATGTGTGAAAGTATGAACGTTAATGAGTAGCTAGCTTAAAAAGTTGCATCGAAAACAACAAAAAATTTATAATATGCTATTGAAAATGCGACACTGCTTGATATTTATGCTTAATGTGGAAAATTCAGAGTTTATACACGTAAAATGAAAGAGGCTAGCCACTCAGACGACTATCAGGAACATTATAAAAGCAACCAAACAGAATTTCAATATATAGTTTAAACAAAAAGAGAGAAATGCAAATAAGCGACCACGTGCTAGCACATATACGGGTCGTGTGGTAAAAAAGGCCTGATTTTTAGTTCACGCGTGTTGCGACAGATAGCGCTATATCTTGAGCAAATACAGCGGTAACTAGCGGTAAGATGTCAAGCCTGCGTAAGCTAGCGTCCTTCTCTCTCCACTTCGCACACAGAACACTCCGTCTATCCGTGCGACGGCGGCGGCGGCGGCGGCGGCGGCGGCGGCGGCGGCGGCGGCGGCGGCGGCGGCGGCGGCG